CAAAGTCACAGCGTTGTCGTGACGCTAAAATAGATTATTAAGAGCATCGCCATTCTAAATATACACATGAAAATCCTTGAAGATTGCATAACATGTGCTGGTATCAGTCGAAAATATATCTACATAAAAAAAAAAACAGCGATTTTTTTAAGGCTATCCAAGGGGTTTTTGACTCAGGCCGGCGGTTATCCTCAACCTTGATGCCGTTGCATCCCTCGTCAGGATGCACATTCGCTATCATCTAGGATCCCAGATCTTTTTTCAAGTGCACCTCCTACTCCGGACTGACCTCGTACCCCAAGGACGTATTATCTAACTCTTCCCTTCACTCGAAATCAAATTCTTTCTACACCGGCTAGGAAAGAGAAAGCAGCATGAAAACGGCAACTGCTAATTGGAAAGTATTTCTCTTAGGGTCTCATTCATATAGGATAAGTGGGACGTGAACCGGCCGGACCGAGTACACAATTTCATTATAATTTAAACTGATATCTTTCCTCGCTGACAATCAATGGTGACCGATTAGCCAATTCTCAAGTCCTCAGGAACCGGTATTATCACGGCCACTAGTTCTCAAAAGACCGTGCTGGTTTTAAAAGCCTTCACTTCCAAATAAGCAATCAAATCAAATTTTTTGAAGGTTTCTTATTAAGAAAAATAACCGTTTCAAATAAAGCATTAATTATTTTTTAATTAATACAACTAATGAATTGTTTTTGTTGTCGTCCTTGCTGTTGTTTAGTTGACACCACAAAGAATTTTATAATCTTCTTTTCACTGAAATATGAACTAAGGCTCTTAAATAGATTTTCATGGCAGAATCTTTCACTATGTCCAGATTCTCGATATGAAATTTGTTTAAATTCCGTTGTTGTAAATTATTTTTAACCTGGTTTACGAAAAGAATCGACGTTGTTTTCATTTTCCCGTCCATCTTGCTCAACGGTCTGATCGTTAATTATTATTGTTGTTGTTTTAACAAAGAATTTTGTCTTGGTTAGCCAAGAAAGGTAATTCCTTTCCTAATCTTCTCAGTAGAACAACAGCTACTCTCGCCCAACTATACGATTAATTATGGCTTAAAAAACGTAGAGAATGAAAAAAAAAAACAATGCGGCTTAATTCACCTCTGAATTTCAAGGCTTGTTAGAAACCCTATTCGTATTCTACACTATTTTGAATACTTCGTAACTAAGAGCACAGTGAAAATTAAAATGAAAGTCGTGCGAGGTCGGTTATGCCTTGGACAAGTGGATCAAAATCACTTTAAAAAAATGTTCTTGAAATTGACCTGTCGGATTTTTCAAATCGTAGTATTATCATATCATTTCAATAAAAGTGAGTTTTGTACATTTAAAAGGCTTTGGTATACGTTAAAAATAGGGATTTCTATAGCGACATACCATTCTTTATGTATCAGTTATCAATCATCATAATCACAAAATATTCCGGCGGTTTAAAGTTTTAGCAAAGTGGATTACTACACGAGCCAAGAATTTAACACTCGAGATAATTGTCTTACTTCTTTTTCTGATAAATCGCGCATATTGGATTTATTTTTAAAAACGGCACCCCGAATTTCAAGGACTCAATAGAAAACCAATTCTTATTTTACACTATATGGATACTCTGTAACTAACAATTACAGCACACTGGAAATAAATAGGAAAGCCTTGGGAGGTTGGTTCTGCCTTGGACAAGTGGATCACATTTTTTTTTAATTCTTGAAAAAAAAATTCTTGTCCGGTTGGATTTTCAAACCATAGAACGTGTATGAAACATAGAGATAAAAATCAATTAAACCAAAAATATTTAAAGTATTATATCATTTAAACAAAAGTGAGTTTTGTACAGTTAAAAGGCTTGGTATAAATTACAAACAGGGATTTCTATAGTGACATACCATTATTTATTTATCAGTTATCAGGGCAATCATCATAATCATAAAATATTCCGGCGGTTTAAACTTTTAGCAAAGTGTATTTACTACACGAGCTAAGAATTTAACTCTCGAGATAATGGTCTTACTTCTTTTTCAGATAAAGCACGCATATTGGATTTATTTTTAAAAAGAGCACGTGATGAAACGGCCTGATTCCGATATTCTAGGAATAAATGTGTCATTGAACTTTGTGGAATGACACACGAGGAATGGTGCGCTGATCAGTGCAATTAGGAAAGGGTCAAATTTTACACAAGCTTTTTTTTGCCTGTTATTTCCGCCTATTCTCGGTGCAAGTTTAATCTAAAGAGTTTCGCCATCTTTCCTGAATCTAACTTTTGACAACTGAAAATAATGGCCATATCCTTTATCCATTGTCTATAAGCACGCATCCTCACAATGAAAGCGTCGGCCTGGAAACGGACTTTTTCCTTTGCCGAACCGCCTCTCAGAAACACTTCAAAAAGAAAAATACATCAAAAGGCATGAAATATGACAAGAAGGATAATCCAATAACACTTTGGGAACGGAAAGGGTATTTAGGACAGACGGTGAGTGGAACTGGTTCTCCTTTCGTACCCATCGTACGAAGTGGGGACGCGTGGGCCCCCCGTTTTGGTACCTGCTCAAAAAAGCAACCATTCACCCGGAAGCAGCCTGTTCTTGCACCCTTTTTCCAATCTCGGAGCCGCTAGGTGACGCCGACTGCGGTATGACAGGAATGTTATTCCGACGCCAGGCGCCGGTATGAATTCGAATGGTTAACAGTTATGAAGAAAGTTTATTTTCGTAATCGATAAATTAGAGGGAAACATCCTATATTTAAAACAAGAGGGACATTAGGTTAACCTACTCGTAGGCCGCACAAAACTTAAACCACTAAACATCAAACCTGCCCATTCGTGATGTAAAATTTTTGGGGGGAGGAACGTACTGGAGGAGAGGACAAAAGTGAGATGGATTTAGAAATACATAGAGAAAAGAAATTGACTGGCAGACAAAGAGAAATAGAAAAAAGCACAGAACGGATAGGGAGAATAGGGAATGATACAAAGAGAGAAAGGGAAAAAGAAAGAAGCATGTAAGAAAGACCGAAACAGAAGTGAATATAAGAGAGTGAAAATATTAAAAGGTAAATATATCGAAAAATATACACTGGGAGGCAAAAAAAGTGGACACTCTGTTTTTTGTTTGATTTTTAATTATTATTTGCAATCGTTATAATTTTTATGTTTTGTTGTTGGTATATATAGTTTTTTTTCAAAACTATTTAAACAATATCATAAAACATGCAAAAAAGTGTTTAGCATATAGCATCAAAGCGAAAGTAGGTATATAAAATGAAGGTTGGTAGATAGGGCAGATAAAGAGAGAGAGAGAGATTGAGTGAGGGGGGAGGGTGTATGATAGAGAGCGGTAGAGTGTGTGTATGGGGGGTGAGAGATGGGGGGAGGTGTGTGTGTGAGAGCGAGATAGGTGTGTGTATGGGGGGTGAGAGATGGGGGGAGGTGTGTGTGTGAGAGCGAGATAGAGATAGATAGATAGATAGATAGAGANAGGAGATTCATGTTTTATTTATATTTTAGTATTTGGTAATTCTTATTTCCAAAGAATTAAAAAAATAAAAAGGGAAAGAGAGGGAGAGAGAGAGAGAGAAGAGAGAGAGAGAGAGAAAAGAGAGAGAGAGAGAGAAGAGAGAAAGGGGGAGAGAGAGAGAGAAAGGGAGAGAGGGAAAAAGAGAGAGAGATAGAGCGAGAGAGAAAGGGTTAGAGAGAGAAAGGGTTAGAGAGAGAGAGAGTGAGAGAAAGAGAGAGAGTGTGAGAGAGAGACAGGATGAAAAATAAAAAGAAGAAATAGTCATAGAGAGAGAGAGTAAGGCGAAGATTATTACCACTATATAAACTATAAACATTTAGGCCCTTGCTATGGAAAATTTTGGTCAGAACAGTAGGATTTTATGGAAAAAATTTTTTTTTCATTTGTTAGAGAAAAAAAAAAATATGTATGTAGGGTTTACGCAACCCAAACTGCTGGCCCATCACCATGCATACTTCAAGAGAAAATCTCACGATTGGGAGGGAGATAGGGAGAGTGTGGTGTGTGTGAGAGAAAGAGTGATACGGAGGGAGAAAGGGAGAGTGTGGTGTGTGAGAGAAAAGTGATAGGGAGGGAGAAAGGAGAGTGTGGTGTGTGTGAGAGAAAGAGTGATATGGAGGGAGAAAGGGAGAGTGTGGTGTGGTGTGGTGTGGTGTGTGTGTGTGTGTGTGTGTGTGTGTGTGTGAGAGAGAGAGAGAGAGAGAGAGAGAGAGAGAGAGAGAGAGAGAGAGAGAGTGAGAGAAAGATAGTGAGAGAGTGAGTGTGAAAGATAGTGGGATAAACTGTAAAAAAGCAACAAACAAGACTGGAAGTTAACGGATATACGTCGACTTTCAAAAATTGAAAGCTTTTAAAGTTCGAAGGCTTAAATTTTCAAACAATCGACACGACTAAAAGCTTTCAAAAGCTTTATGAGAGAAAAAATTAGTAATAAAAAGTCAAACCACGGGTAAAATTTTTAAACGATTATCAATTTTCATTGAATGCATGTTGTAACAATTTATAATCCAACTTTTCCCCTCAATACCTCTATATCTTAACAGATTTTTAATGTACTTGAAATTCGTTATATTTAAATCTATAATGTATAAATAACGAACAAATCATAAAAATAAATCATAACGAAAAACAGTTTTATATTCTCTTTTTGCAACATAAATACAAGTAAAAGTCTTTTTATCCAACGCGATTTACTTTAATTAACGGCTAATTATAACAGACAGTGATCTGTTCGCAATTAACATAATTGTACTGTTTCAATCGGATTTCCATTCGGCTTTTCAAATCAATTGTTTAAATTTAGACAGTTGGATTTATTAATTAAAATTGTTCCAAATTGGGTCAAAGTGAAAATGTATAAGTTTTTAATTATGCTGTTTCGCCTTTTGAGATGAAAAAAGAATATTTTTAATCTAACTGATATCACAAGCACTGAGGATTAAAAAGTAAAAACATATCTTACTTTGTGCAGGTGTTCCAGAGCGAGGATAATTTCGCCTATGTATATCCTCACTTGGCTTTCCGTGAAGTGCTCTCTCTGGTAGAGATGAGTAAACAGTTCACCACCGCTCACGTAATCTGAAAGAAAAGAGAAAATCCTTAAAATCGTCCAAGTTACAAAAAGATCCAAGGCACGGTCGTAAAACATACAAAACGACAGGTAGATACTCTGACAGGACTGGGACAGGATACGGCAATTTACCACCCGAAGAAAATTTCCTTATATTTCCCTCCTGTAATGCGGGGCCTCGCTTTAAAAAATTGCGCTCAACCACGATTGTTTAACGCTTTCACCATCTCATAATAGTACACTGTCTATTACAGGACTATTGTTTACGACTCAATAACATGGGAAGTAGAGTATTTCCGATTTTTTGACTTACAGGATGCAAATAAAACATAGAATAGAATTGACAGTGGTTGGTATATTGTTAGTTCTGTATATCAAAGGGTATATCTTATTTATTTGGCCTATTTCAAAGGTATTTATAAGTCCATAATATTGCGTGGTCCGATTGACCAAATAATCTCTTTCAATTAATTAATCTTTATGTAAGGTATTGGTTAAGATAAAAGAGTCAGTATCACGAGCGGGATTCGAACCCACGACCTCCGGCTAAATACGGCGCTGCTCTACCTCTTGAGCGACTCAAGAAAAAAAGGAAATTCAAAAGGTGGGTTGACGTGGGAAGTTTAATGGATTTAATAAGCAAAATGAAGTATATCTTCAATAAATCTCTCCGTGGCCATTTCATTTGTCGCCGAGAATCGAATAGATTACACGACATTTGAAAAATGGCAAAAAGGAGGGAAAATTCAAAAGGTGGGGTTGAGATGGGAAGTTGGTGTCGAGCGGATCGAAGTCACGATAGCTCAAGTGGTAGAGCAGCGGCGGATTTAGCCGAAGGTCGTGGGTTCGAATCCCGCTCGTGACATTGACTTTTTTATCTCAACCCCTCCTTTTGCCATTTTTCATCTCAACTAAAAACCTTAATTAATTGTAAAGTATTAATTGGTCAAGCGGACCACGAAAATAGTGAATTTATAAGTTACTTTTACGCCATAGACATGCAAATGTAAAAAAGTTAATATTCCCTTACGGAAACATTAAAAAGTAGTACTAAATTATTACTAAAATAAGTAAGAAAACAATAAGTAACTTTAAGCAAGTGGTCAACTAGAAGGTTCGTTGCCTCCTGGCACACAAGATGACAATACATTTTGTACTGTATTTATAAAAACAACCTATGAATACTTACAAAACGTCAAATAAATGACAAAATAATAATTATCCATGATGGAATATAATGAACGGGATAACTAAGAAAAAGAAGGTTTCATTATTCAGTAAGAATCAATAGCAAACACAATTTGACATTATTTTTTTAGCTATTGTTATTATTTGACTTACTATAAAAATAATGAAAATGTCTCAGCTTAAAAATTCTTGCGTTTGTAGTACAATTTAAGAAAGTATTTGTTTAATTTGTTAACTGTTATTTGAGAGTAAATTAAGCTTTTTGAATTTATTACATTTTCAACCGGCCATTTATCCAGTTATCCTATGTTGAACGATATGAAACAAAGTTTGGAAGGATGTGGCAAAAAAAGGTCTGAATAGGTCAAAGTGAGCACCCTTTTAAGTTTGAGCGAGGGAGCGAAGTTGTAAAAGTTTGCGGGAATGTTTTTAAAGCTGGACAGTTTAGGGATCACCGTAGGTTCTTGTTTACGGACTGGAAATCTTCAACTTCGCGTTGAGTAAATTGAAAAAGAAACAAAACGAGCCGACGGCGAGTTTCGAACCGTGTTTGCTCCGGGACACGAGATGTTTAACTGCATATTGCATGGAGGGCCGGACTTGTCCCACTAACCCAAATTGGATGGGATGCGGCGGAAAACTGTCATTGCCTGCGCGTATAAACATCTCTTGGCACATTCATTTGGGCAATAAAATCCCTTAACTTTAATTTTTTCCTAAATTATGTTCACTCTAAAACCAGAGACGATATAAAAGCAGTAAATATTCTAATTACTCAAACGGCTTTCTGGACAAGCGGCGGATAATTCATAGCGCGAAACGATTTATCATTTTATATTTTTAAATTATTTATTTATTTTATTATTATTTTTAAAAGTATTGCCTAATTAAATAGTACAAAAGAATATAGCAATGGTGTTTTATTTATTTGTTGTAACAATAACTTTGAGGAGATTTTTTAAAATATACATATCTAAACATAATACACGAATATCTAAGAAAACTTCTTATATATAACAATAAAACACGTGAATAAATATAAGTAAAGTTATAATATGTATTTGATAAATACGAAGACTAAGCAAACGCGTTTGTATGGATTATTTTAAGCTAAACACGCAAAACAACTGAACAGAAAGCTGCTTGAAATACATAGTTTAATATTTGAATAAAAAAGAGAAAAGTTCTTCGAAATAAATCAAGTTAAGTGAATCAGAAAATTGATGAAAACCTTGTCAAAATATACAAATGTTGAAATGTACAATATTTGTAACGTAAGAAAATAATATAGTTTTGAAAAAATCGAATTAAACTCCTAAAAATATGTGATGTTAAGCGCGTAACGTTTTAGAAAATTATTAACCGAGTAACATTTTTTTTACATTTGTTGAAATCTTGAGGAGCGGTCAAGAATAAGATAATTTAGAAAAACGCCTTTTTAATTTTTTTGGCCAACGTTTCGAACTTTATTCGGGTCATCTTCAGAACCTGGGTAAAACCAAAACATATGTTGATTGAAACAAATACAATTTAAGATGTAAATATAAATCTTGAACCAAGAACTTCATAATCGCATAAAGTGTGGTGCTATTCTTGTGATGATATTGAGTACGAAATTTTTGAAAATTTTTGTCCAAACGTCGGCAAAAAAATGAAAAAAAGTGTTTTTCTAAACTACTTCATTCTTGACCAATCCTCATGACTTCAACAAATTATGAAACAACAGGTCACCAAGAAACACATATTTTTTTAATTTAAACAAATAAATAACTTGTAGCCTATACACGTTAAAACATGTTTCAAATGTGTGGATAATTTTTTTTTTCTTCCGGTTACAACACAGTGGCCAGGAGGTCTCCGGGACATTGTCGTTTAAGGCAAGAATGAGGGTTGTCGACATGGGACAGTGTGTAAAGTTCTTGGGATAGATCGAAAGCATGGTTTGGAACTTTTATAAGCGGGATCGGATCGGTTCTTTGACAAATGTTGAGGAACGTTGTGGATACTATTTGTGCCGTAGTAAGGCGCTTTACCAATTCATCCGAGGGCAATTGATTGGAAGGATTGCTGGATAATGGAAGTCTTGGCGGAACTGCACAGTTCCACCCTTTATGTCCAATGAGGATCAAGTAATGCCTTGTACTGAGTTTATTAGGTTTACGGTCTAGAAAAATGTAGGTCTTAAAAGTCTTCGTAGTCATCTAAGTCTTTTGTTAAGTTAGTGGGGATGTCAGTCTGCTGTCTAAGTTCTAAGTATCTGTCTTGAGTGAAAGTCGGTATGTCCTTGTTATGGGGTGTACGTAAACATTACTACCACCTAGAAATCAGGTTAGAAGACAAAATGGGTGTATCATCCGCATAAATGGGATATGTAGGAAAGTCAGTAGTATGAATGGTATATAGCAAGGGACCAAGAATGCCTGTATTATTATTGTCTTTTAGTACTCGTTTGCGCAGCTCACTCTGAAGCAGCGGTCAGTTAAATAAGATTCAAGCCTAAGTCAATAAGGAGTGGGTGGGAATCGCTTAAGTTCGTAGACGATGCCTGGGTGAATAAAATATAAAGTTACTTACGCATACATAAAGTAACTCAAAATATATTTTAACCACACAAGTTTCTAGGTAATGTGTAAAGATACTCAAGTGCAATATAATAAAGATCACTTTGAAATATTAAGTTGACCACGTAGGTATTATGGAGTATGTAGAGTAAAACGAGAAAATATGTGTCAACTATAACTGAAGCTTGTAAGTTTGTAAGGAATATTGTAAGCCCCTAATTATTATTAAAGTTAACCTTTTTGAAATATTTACAGTTAGCCACGAAATCATGTATGCAGTATATACTGTGTTATGATAAGCAAATGTATACGATAATATAGTCAAATTTGTTTGAATGTACGTAAAAGAGTAAAAACCCCAAAATGGTATGAAGTTAATTAAATCTGTGCGGTGATTACTGATCGTTAATCGATAATTATTCAGAAATCGTGAGATGCGGTCTGGTGTGATGTAGGTTTCAGAAAAACATTTTTTTTTTCGTGCCAACGTTTCGATCTTTAGTGAGATCATCTTCAGGGCTCAAAGTGTTTGTCTTCTGTGTAATTGTGCCATTCTTGCGTGTCGTGTTGAGAGTGCCTGAAGATGATCTAAATAAAGATCGAAACGTTGGCACGATAAAGAAAATGTTTTTCTGAAACCTACAACACACCAGACCGCATCTCACGATTTCTGAATAGTTAATTAAATCATAAAATTCAATAAATTTCTAATATTTTTTCTATTTTTATCATGTTATTTTTATCAATTAATCCGATATATTCTTTAGTTTATTTAGTGTTTCGATTAATTTTATTTGACAATGGATCTGTGTTTCATATGCATTCGGTTTTTAGATAATTTTGTTTTATCAGTCCAACTTTGTATGTCGCCTAACCAAATTAACCTGTCTATTGCGATGCGCAACATATGCCTAGTTTACACTTTTCACAGAATTATATTTAGCTCATTTTCAATTTAGATAACAATGGGCCGTGACTTTTTCACAAGCCACTGGCATCGCTACCCATTGTGTTCCGAGTCTGTTCTCTGATAAAGAAGAAAATTTGAATTACATTTCCTGAAAACGTCTTCCTCCCGGCCCCTTAAATCACTACATTTTGGCGCTTCTCGTCGGATTAAGGGCGGGGAAAAACGGGTCATTTATACCATTAAAACGGGACGAATTAACAGTCTGCATGCATAATGGACAACCGAAACTTTCCACGCGTATGTGCATTGAAAGGTTTAAAACGAGGGAAAAGGCGAGAAGGAAAAAATT